GGGAAAAGTTAGAATATTGGGAGTGGTCTCTACAAGTATATAATATGTAGTGAGAGTTGAATTCCCAACCTTAAGTTAAGGACCCCTCATTGATGAATGTATATCATAGCCAAGCCTCCGCCGTCTTCTCATGCTGCGACAGTGTCATTGGGTAAATATTTGATAGCCCCACTCACTCTTCCCATGCTGAAGTGAAATGCGCCTTTCCAAACCTCTCAGTATTCTGCCCATCCAGTCTGAACTGTTCCCAGTCAACCATTGCAACAATCAATCTGCTATGGTTCTGATTCTGATATGATAATATTACTCCAATGGAGATCCCCATGCGTGAAGGTTACTGTGGCATTATATCAGGGAGTTCAGAGTGAAAGGGCTCTATCAGAATGGAGTATGAATCTGCCGTTGGACATTGGCAGAGGAAAACAAACCAGTCATGAAATTTCTTGACAGAGTTGAAAAGGTCCTTGCTTCTGTCATGAACTAGTGATGATAGACAGATCTTAATCTTACAATCAGGCGAAGGGGCATTTATTACCTTATTATTAATGAGCTCTGTGAATCTTGTCCTGAGCCATCATTGTAGATTGAAGATGCTGCATGCAAAGTCTGAAGCTTTGAGCAAAAACATGGGTCTGTCTTGTCCATGTATCATTTCCATATATATATTGAAAGACCTCGCCTCTGTCAGAACGCCAGCCGTATAACTTATTAACCAGATTAGCATCAATCAAGAATGACAGTGTCAAATTAAAAGGCCAACAAACTCATTCTTTTATTCATGGTCAATTCATATTTCATATTTACAGCTTCTTCAAGTCAAGATAATTTCCCTCTTATCCTCTTTTAAAATCAAAAAAAAGTAAATAAATAAATAAAAAATAAAAAAAAATAAAGAGAGAGAGAGAGAGAGAGAGAGAGAGAGAGACACTAGACACTAAATAAGAAACATAAGAAATGACAAAGGACAGAGGACTGAAGCAGAGAGAGAAGAAGAAGAAGAAGCAAATAAATCATTAAACATGAGAGTTACTGATACCAATGCATGCAATTCCATCTCTCATTTCAATGTATAAAAGTGGACTTGTGAATAGTGATAGGTAAATAGATGCCTCTTTAATCGGTTCTTCTTTCTTTCTTTCTTTCTTTGATGGAAGGAGAAA